TGTCCGTGTGTTGGCGGCAGAATTGGGGTGTAAGAACTTCCAGGTCTCAACAGGCTGGACATACTGTACTCGTAGTTCCTGTACATCCACATGAAAACCCAAGAAAAGGTCTCCATCCTCATACTCAAGTACGATGGGCGGTATGTATACATCCTGGTGCAGAAAAGCTTGCACAGCAGCATAGTTGGCATGGCGATCAAGAATCAAGCTCATCCGGTTGTCAACGTATCGAACCACAAGGCCGAAGGTTGGCAAGCGAGAAGACTCTAACAGACATTTTCCAAAGTACATGTGCTCGTATAGGCTTACCACAGCATGGCAAGCTGCCGGGGAAAAGTGGCTTCCCATCGGTGCACCTCGGATTTGTTGAATGGCCTGCTGACCCACCATGAATAGATTGAACTTGAAAGACACCTGTACAGCCTCCAGAAATAGGTCCATTGGGACGGCAACTCGTTTGTCATTCAACAGGCAATGCCGACCACGGATAGTTTTCATAACCGACATGTTGTTTTCCAAGTCCACAGTCACCACAACGCCTTTTAAGGCATGATCAAGATCCGCATCCGAGACGTCGTAAAAACGACAAAGCAATATGCGAAAGGTAATCATGAACCGCTCCCGTGGAATGCTCACGAAAAAACCTGACAAGTCTTGATTGTGCATGGCAAGCTTTTGTCGGTCTTGATCCGAGCTGTGACATCGCTTCTCAAAGAAAGCGTGTATGTTCTGCCAAAGCAAGATTGCATCGTTGTAAGATCGGGTGTGAGGACACACCTCAGCGACAAGCATCTCTGTGGCTCGCGCCATCACTACCAAGAACTGGCGAGCCGGGTGAGAGGCAAAACTAACGATTGGCCTGCCTCCTTTCCATTCTTTCTTGAACTTGGGGAGAATGTAAGCCCATGACACACGGGCAGCCCGAGATCCAAAACGGAAGGGAAAGGATTCAAGAATCCGAGGTGGCACTGCATGTTCCATCTGAACCATAATTGTCGAAGGATTTAACGACAATGGCTTGAAGACCGATTCAGCAGTAAAAGTGTTCTGGAGCATCATCCAATACTTCACAGGGCAGAAAACATGCGCATGCGAGCCTTCATGATCACGGACATGCCACACCAATCCTTTGGTCCTTTTTCGCAACTCACGAACCTGATCCACTGACCAATGTGTTCCAACGTGTTGTGAGTGCATCTTCCATGCCTTCTGCCACACACTTCGAATATCAACAGTCGGATAATGCATCAAGCCATGATGATCAATCCAATGCCTCACGTCTTCAAGAAACATCGTCCAATGATCCGTGGCGTTCATGAACACCGGGTTGGACCAACTGGACTGGGCCAACTGAGTCAAATCAGGTGGCAGGGTCAACAACGTGGCAGAGGAAGCAATGTGACCCTGGACAACAGTCAGGTGTGGATGACGTCGAAGAAGTTCATGGCAGCAACATGTGACACCAGCCTGTTGCGGCTCCTCGTGCGGGTCCCACGACTGCAGGATGGGTTTATGCGAAAACAACACATCCTTGATTTTAGGGTGACTTTTGGCAACGAGCGATGTCGCTGGAATGTGGTACGGCAGCAGTCGATCCGTCGATACATCCAAAATATCTCTCAACATGCCGCGAACCAAGCGTTTGAAGCCTACTTCAGGCAGCAAGAACGGAGTGGAAAGGGGGCGGCATGTAGTTGGGCATCTCAACTGTCGAAATTGCAGCACAGTGTTCAATCTGGACCTGCAGATCGTCTCATAGAACGGGTCACCCAGATGAGTGGCCATCCTGAATAATCTATAGAGAAAATCCGAGTCAACTCGGTTGCTGCGCAGATATTTTTGGGCAAGAAAGGACTTCAACCCGTCAGAAGCTAAGTCAAACAGAATCTGATAACTGTATACAATGTTCTGAACAATGTGTGTCGACCGGAAGACCGAAGGAGTCAGTCCAGTGAGCTGGAAATTCCGACGTCGAAAGCGTCGAAAGGTTCTCCACGAGGTCACAAATCTGCGAACACATCTGACTGGATCCGAGTTGGCAATCTGTGCATGTTTTGCTCTGACAAGAGAGCGAACCCAAGGAGCATTGAGGTGAGGCTGTAGCAAGTTGATAAATGTCTGCTCAATCGTGTGCAAACAATCGACCTGTGGGACATGCATGATCAACAGAGGAATGGCCATGTGATAATTCTGTCGTCGATAATGCCAAAACAGCGAAAGTTCACCGCACACTGACTTGCCAGCCCTGATCTGTTGGAATTTCCCCCATCTTGTACGCTCACGGTCGCCCAGTGTTTGGGATGATGATCCGACATACATGAATTTCTGTAACTCAGGCTGGAGAAAGATGCGACAATAAATCACCGACTGCGTCTGAAAGAATTTCCAGGTGTAGCTGGAGCATTTTAAACGTAGCTGAGAGGTCAATGGCGACTGTACAAACCCGAACTCACAAGCAAGCAAAAGGAGTTTTCCACGGATCCAAATAACAATGTCCATGCGTTGTCGTCCGAACATGGTAGGGGTCTCGTAGAGACCTTGGAAAAATAGATGAGCATTCCGAAGCAAATCCACTTCACTTCGGTGCCGTTTCCACCAACCTTGTGGCGGATTGTCAATGCGATACACGTCCCTGGCATCCAATATGGCCTGTAGTCAAGCCACAAGAATTGTTCCGGCAGCAAGAATACGGAGCAGAGAATTCGCCTTAAGCTTGGGAATATCACGGATGGGTACGCCCCAATTGGCAACAACCTGATCCAATTCGGCCTGTTCATTGGAAGGAAGGTCCGCATGCCATCGTTGGACATGAGCTGTCCATGTCTGGAGCTTCTGTCGATTGTTCTTGCTCAAGTTCAATCCTTCAATCCACGTCGATACTTCTTTGTCCGACTTGCAAGCCTTCCAACTGCGACTCAAGAAGTGACGTTTGCTGGGATCCGTGAGAACAATCTTCACAACCTGTCCAACATGCGAGGATGTTCCATACTCAGGCTGAGGAGCAGAACTCGAATTGCCTGGGTTGCGACCCTGGGTCTCAGCTTCATCGGGCTCGACACTCAAAGGTTCAGCGTGATTCCCGGATGGTTTGCCTTTCTGGAATGCCTGCATGAGACTGGTTTTAGGCTCAGCCGTCTGACCACGAAGAAGGCGAGTGGCACCATCCGGAACTTTCTGAGCTGAAGGCGCAGACTCCGGCACACGTCCTTGGGGGCTTTCTTCAATCGGCAACGTTTTCGGAACTGCAACCTCTTGATTAGAAGATCGGGAGGGGGAAGCATTCTCGAAATTCGCAAGTTGTTGTTGAAGAATCTGGATCTGATTGGCCATGGCTGCCTTCTCTGTATCAACAGAGGCCTGAGGATACAGACCTAGCATGTAGTCAACAACCTTCTGTGCCAACAAGTGTGTGGCCTGCGACTTTGAGTCCGAACCGCTGCTCTTGGAAGCGGGGTCACTGATACCAAGCACAATAGAAGCAAGCTCATCCAAGTCGACGTCTTCATCTCGCAGCTTTCCGAACAAGGCATGGCAAAATACAACTTCACCGATCGATTTGAAGCCTGCAAAGAAAGTCGGCTTTCCTTCCGCAATATGGCGCACCCAATACGAATTCCAACCTTGATAGAGCAACGAGTGAAGCGGTATCATATGGGTCGGACATCCATCAATCTGCTTTCGAACTGTCCAGTCAGTCTTCTTTACCCAACGAGCCAAGTTCAAGCCTGCAATACAACGGGAATCCAAATAGTTTGGGTTCTGGCAAAACTCAGCGGGCATCATCGGGCCGAAGACTCTTGGGGAGTTTGCAGCAGGTGGGGAAGGGAGGCCTGGAATGCGGGGGGTTGGCGAAATGTTCATAATCTGAGCAATACGTGGATTGGGTTGCCACGTAAGATTCTGTGGCTGAAGCACTGCCAGTCTGTTCACTGGTGGGGCAGGTCGGGGTGCAGGGTGCTGCCAACTCTCAGGGGTAGGTGGGACCGAAGCCGGCAAGGAGGAGCTCCAGAAGGGGTTGCGGCGGGGGGAGCGTTCACGATGCATGGCAGGAAATGAGAACAACAACTGACTGCAAAGCTCAAGCCGGAATGATCTCAAGAAGCGACTCCAGAATGCAACTCCGATCTGATTTCCAGAAATGTGATTTCCACTCAGTGATCTCCACTTGAACATGTTGTGAAACGGAATTGATTTCCGGAGCTGCTAACACAAGAACCCCGGTGGGCCGGCAACTTCGCCGAATAGCGACAAGGCCCTCGTGAGGGAGCTCTTGCCGAACACAACTGGAAAGGCTCCCACTGACCCGGCCTTCTGGATGTTCTGATCGTCCAATGCAGATACTCTCATGGACATGCTCAAACAGATTGCAGCAACCGTGCAAAGCTTCAAAGCAAATAAAGGCATGGTCAAATCTGCATGCCTGCCTTGTTCGAAATATGCAAGAAACATGTCAGAGTTTTCAGCGAGAGTCAAACTGCGTGAAAACAACATGTTTTGAAAACACATGTTGTGGCCACCAGCTGGAGTACTTCTCCCCAAGTGCACCACTGCAGGTACGTTTTCACTGCATTCACAGAAGCGTCTTCGTTGGCTGGAGACTTCTGTGATGCACTCCAGCCCCCTGCAAACTTAAAAGCGAAAAGAGCATGAAAACAAGAAAAATTCATGGGTCAAAGCATGTACCTACAAAGATTTTCAACCAGAAACGCCGAGGAAGAGTGGACATGTGAATGCAGGTTTTTCGCATGTACAGCAGAATAACACAAACAAACAAACAAAGTAACGAACTGACTGACTGACTCACTCACGCACTCACTCACTGACTCACTCACTAACTAACAGAGCCGCACGAGCAAACACGTTACGTCTCCAAAACGCGCTTCGCTTTTTGCCTTCTGCAAGCCAGACATGCTTTCCGAGAGGTTCAGAGTTTCAGAGATCACCCGCGAACACGACTTTCGTCCGGGGCGACATTGAATCTGAACCGCTTGCGTGGAGGCTCATGTCCTGCAGAATCTGCCGCCACAGCCGTGTGATGACAGCACGCAGATGTTCAACAGCGCAGAGTCATCCCGGATCATGCAGACGGTGATTTTTGGCTTCGTCCGGCGCATAGTGGGTGGTGTTGTCAACTTGCCATGAAACTTCCTGTCAGTCCACGTCTCGCAAAGAACCTTAGCTCTGAATGCGTCGCGGAAACAGTGACCACAGAAGGTTTCAGACTGTGACGACTGGGCACAACTCGTGATCCACGCAGTCGAAGAGAAGGCGTCCGATGCCAGCACTCTGACCGTTGCACCGATGTCTGTCGACACGGCCGGCCGGAAGTTGACGCAGTCGTGGACAGCGTCCTCGTTTTCAACATTCGACATTGTCGAGTTGACGGAGACATGAGCGTCCTGGTAATGCGTAGGGGTCATGAACGAGTGCGCACCCAGGCGGTGCCAGTGCCAACTCCTGGGCATAGCGCAGGCCAGGAAAGCATCTGGAGCGGAGACATTCCAAGCTGACGCGGCAGATCACAAAGGTGGTGTGGTGCAACAAAATCAGTCAAGGTTCGAGGAGAGAATCATCGCGGCCAGTTCCAGGTGCATTCGTGAACCCATCCGAATCAAGTGCAAGACCAGAATGACACGCTGACCTAGTGTTGTTGGTAGAGTCAGCTTTGGATCACTGAGCTCAATCCACCTCGGACATGATCAGCAGGCCTTGTGGTACGAGGTGGCATGGAGCAGGACGCCCGGTCTCCGGTGCCGCGGAGGAGCTAACCTGGATCTGAAAACACGAGTCGGTGAAGTTGAAGAAACGAGCGAAACGACATGCTTCGTAGAGAGGCAGCACAGACCCATCTCCTCTACCGTCGCTTCAGATACTCAGCACCCAAGCCAGGCATAAGGTGCACCAGCACCAGCACCACGAAAGACAAATTCACCCCAGAGGACAAGAAAAGGAGCCCGAAGAGTTTACCCTCTGACAGATGGTCTTCCGTTCCATGATCTTCCATGAAAGTCAATTCAGGCTGGCTCTACTCCTTGACTCCTTGCAGCAGTAGGAGCTGCTTCCACGGAACCACGAGGGCCCAACTCCTGAGACTGAATTTGCGGCGCATGAAAGTTCTAGTCTTTGAAGGCTGTTTCCGTGGGCAGCGGCACTTCTGGGGTTTCAGACTTGACTAGCGGAATATTCCTAAACAGTCACATTTCGGCCGGAGCTTCATTCAAAACACATAGACTTGTAACAGTGGCCTACGCTACCAGTAGCTACAAGAATGATCACTGAGGGCACCACCTTTAGTAGTGATAAGCTGACCGTTCGCCGCAAACAGCAGTTTCGCACGATGGCACGAAAGGAGAAGATCCCAGTTGCGGTTGGTCCTGCAACCTGCCACCCTAGCTAAACCCCTGAAACCCGGAAACAAACAAGGGGCGTGGGGGAGTGGTGAGGGGTGTGGTGTGGTGGTGGGTGTGGGGATAGCACTGCGAGGGCTTTGTCTAGTAAAACAAAATGCAGAACCTGGCCAACAAGACGGGCAAGGCTTCGAAGCCACTCTGAACACACAGCCTTTTAGAAAAATATGGGGCAAACCAGTGCCGTCATGAAAGCTCTATCATAACACCAACTCCATCGCGAGAAGGTTTCACACCATGACAGACCAAGGTTCCCAACCCCAGGCATGCCAGCGACCATTGCTCCTCCTTAGTTGAACCTCCCCTCCCGGCTGAGGCATGTAATTCAATCGACGAACCGAGAAAAAGCAATTTGCTAGTTGAAGCACAGCTGTCGTCCCCAAGAGTGCGTTGGACCGCAGCCGCTCATCGGCCAGCCCGACGCACAACAGGCCTCGACAAATCACCCAGCAAACCCCGTAACCCGATACATTTTCTGCTCCCTTTTAGGTCAAACAGCCAAGGCTCCGTTCAACGAAAGAATCTCCAGCAGCCATCGCTGTCGACCTCCTTCGCCTTGCCCAAGAACCTGGTCGCCGAGTTCTCTAAGCAAATCGAAAGAAAAGAAAAAAGACGGGCAAAGACCTTATTTCTCGCTTGACAATATCGCAGGCTGGGAGAGTCCGGGGCACGATGCTACCCAGAACAGTTTCCCAACCATCCTCTCCACTGGCGACGCGGCTGCCGGTACCAATCCAGCCAAAGCTAAGTAGAGGGGCCTCAATCAACTTCAAAGCCACCCGAATCACACAATCAATCGTGGAAAACACGAGCGAAACAAACGGAAGCTTGGATCTTCCGTTTCCGCACTCTGTGCTCTGTAGTCCCTGCCCAAAGCAAGCCGCGAATGAAAACACCGGATGCTCAAGCCGAACGCTGTGCCTGTCCGTAGCCTACCTGATCTTGCCCAGGGACCGCGAGGACGTGACAAAGCAAGCATAGGCTAACCCCACACCTCATACCCTATACTCCCCCCTACACTTTTACCTCAATTCTCAACCCGCCTAACATTTCAACCCTTAAATCCCGCAAAACACAAAGCACCTCCCAACAATCAATACAACAATCCCGAAACAAAGCAACCTACCAACCCCAAACAACAATCCGAAAACACAATCCAAAACCCAAAGCACCTAAACAAACCCTACCCTCAACCATAAAATAACCCATATCCTAATATGAGGTGTGGGGTAAGACCCTAATAGAAAAAATCCCCAAAAGATTATAACCCTGAACTGGGACGCTTCGGCAAAGCCTCGTGAAGCATTCGCGACATGTCCCCTACATAGAATAATATATTAACAAAATTATTTGTTAGTATATTATGTTAAGAAGTCATCAATGTTTTTGAGGTAGTCTGTGTCATTTCTTATTGGTGTTCGTTTCTTATATTCTACTGTGGATAAATAAGGATATCTGGCATCCATAAACCTTTCAAAAGAATAATCATCTTCAAAATGTGCTTCCGCTATTCGTTTATTAATCCATACATTGGTTTCATTTGAATACAATTTGTATTTTAATTTTCCTAATGCTTCATAGCTGTATATATGTTGTTTAATTATATAAATTACACTTTCAACTTTGTTCATTTCTCTTCCAAGATGATTAACAAATTTAATCTTTGTATTGTTGTTTTTATCTACATTCTTGTCATATTCATAAATTATTCTGTTTCGCTGTTTAGTGTAAAATCTTTTAATTTGTTCATCAAATTTAAATGAAGTATCGCATAATGATTTAATCTCATTGTAGAATTCATTGTGATAAAACTTGTCCTCTTCTTTCAAATATTTTCTCAACACTCGTAATGTCTTTTCGTATGTAGGAAATGGATTTAATTTAACATAATAATATATTTGGGTGTTTAATTTGGTTGGTTCATATTCTTCTATATTGAGCTTGTTTTCAACTGCTTCAACTACATCTTCAAATTGTTTCATACTACAATCATAAACATTGTTCTTAAACTCTTTTACAGTTTTACATACATCACATTCTTCATAATTGTATTTACAAATATTTTTAACAATATTTTCAGGCATATTCAGTTTATATAAACACATATTCTGTTGGTTAAATTTACACTTTTTACACATACTCACCTTATCTTTAATAATTGTTTTCATATCAACAACATTCAAGAATTTACTAATGATTTCCTCCTGTTCCTCATAACTAAACATATTATATAATTGTTATACTAAATATTTCTTTAAATGGTTTTTGTAAAACACAGAATTAATTTAATATGCTCTCTCTTGGTTGTCAAACTTAATCTCATAATATTCTAATGTCTCCTTCTTTGGAAACTTGATATCTTTGTTGTTGAGTTTCTTAACATATACACTCCTTTTATTCTTATAAACATCACTGTCTTTATCCACTGGTTGTTTAACTGGTTTAGGCTTCTCTTCGTTAAGCTTATTAACTGCTTTTTCAATTAGTTCTAACTTATCCAATATCTTTTGAAATCGCGTTGCTTTGGTTTCTTTAATCTCATCATCTACATCACTCATCTTGCTATATAAAAGTTTTAGATTAAAACTTTTTTAAAAGTTTTAATCTAAAGTGCGTTTAAATATGTAGTTAAAGACTACATTTTAACATATGCCATTTTGTATTTATGTTTATGCATACTGTCTAAACATCTCCTACATAATTTATTGTATTCTATGTTTTTGTTCCTACTCTTGAAGTATTGATGATTTCTACATATCTTACAACTCGGACAATACCGTATGTCATCTAAATTACATTCGCAATGGCATTTATCATTAACATAAAACGATACAATGATTTCATCTACATATCTGACCATATATTTAATTGATTTTATAATAAAATTATAAAGCCAATTCCTTAATGCTTTAACGAAACTAATTAAGCACCTGCTTATGAGATGCTATTGAATGTTCCAGCATTACTTCCCTTTCATGCGACCATCCAATGTGAAACGAAAGGAGCTGGGGTCTATCTTCCAAACGGCATACTCGCCCTGTCATCATTAAATACATCTTTATTCTTAAATATCAATCCATCATATTTAGATTAGTTTTTAAACTGCTAATATCTTTTTTAACCTCTCTCATATCTGCTCTTAGTTCTTCTAACTGCTCTTCTGTCTCTTCTGGTGTAATTTGTTTTCCTGTTCTTCCAAAACCTGTATCGCATATAGATATGTCCCCTAATTGTGTGTTGTCGTTTGTATTTTTGAAGATTTCATCTGACGGAGTAATTCCCCTGCGTTTTCCCATTGAAAAGGATGACCTGTCTTCAACAATTGTTATAACTTCTTTGTTTTCATCTTTGGTATGCTTTGTTTCTTTATGATATAAATGTTTTCTACATCTACAAGGGAGACAATCAAGACTGGTAGGTGTTAATGAAAATCCACCATCTTTTTCATTCTTATCATCCATTTACATTAATTAGATTTTAATTTAAAGTGTTGAATAACTGCTTTCAGCACCTCTAATATACTATAACAACATCTACGGTATTTAGGAGGTGTTATTATTTGTTCTATCTTCTCTATCTCGTCTATAACTTCTAAATAGTCGTCATAATCGCTCATATACTAATAACGATATAATTTTTCTATGTATTAATAATAATGTCGGATATACCAGTTGTAAAACCAGTGAATGTTAAAGAATATGACTTTAAACAGTCTAAATATGAAGTAGCACCTAAGTTACCAGCATCTATGATTATATCAGCACCGTCAGGTTCAGGAAAAACAATTTTATTACAGTCGTTAATTTTAGATATTTACAGAAATTGTTTTGCTCGCATTTATGTATATAGCCCGTCCATAAATGTGGATAGTATATGGACACCTGTAAAGAAATACATAAAAGACGAAATGAAAGTAGATACGGAAAAAGAACAGTGTTTCTTTGAAGAGTATGTCCCTTCGGAATTACAACAAATAATGGAAAGACACCATAAGGTTATAGAATACCAGAAGAAAAATGACCATAAAACATTACATTCGTGTCTAATTGTAATAGATGATATGGCGGACAACGAAAAATTTAGCAGACATTCAAGCTTATTAAATCAACTTTATGTGAGAGGTAGGCATAATGCACTGACGGTGGTTACCAGTGTTCAAGCATACAGGGCACTGTCAAGAATTATTCGTGTTAATTCACGACAGTTATTTTTCTTTAAGATGAGAAACTATAAAGAGATAGAGACAATGACCGAGGAACTCGCCGCGATGCTTATTAATAAGAAGATGTTGGCAGACACTAAAAATGTAGCAGAAGCAAAAAGGTTATTGTTAGAAATTTACAATGAAGCGACAAATGAACCACATAGTTTTTTATATTGTAATTTAACAAAAAGCGACATTGACGAGGTCTTTATGAAGAACTTTACACATAGGATAATGGTTTCTGATGGAGAAGATATTTAAAGAATAGATATATTAGGATATATAAGGATATGAACAAATATCATAATGGGAAAATTTATAAAATAGTTGATAAGTCATATACTAAACAATATATAGGAAGCACAACTGAAAAGTTAAGTCAGAGAATGACAAGACACAGGAGCGATTATAACCGTCATAAGGATGGTAGAAGATTACACAAAATATCAGTTTTTGAACTGTTTGATGAGTTTGGGTTAGATAACTGTAAAATTGAGTTAATTGAATACTGTAAATGTGAAACAAAGGATGAATTAACAAGAATGGAAGGTGAGTTTATTAAGAACAATGACTGTGTGAATAAGCAAATAGCAGGGCGAACACAGAAAGAGTATCAAGCAGACAAACACGAACAACTTTCGGAACGGAAGCGAGAATACGGACAGAGAGAGTATGTATGTGAGTTGTGTAATATTACTTTACGGATTGCGGATAAGTCAAAGCACGAAGCGACAGACAAACATATTAAGTTATTAGATACCAACACCGAAGAACTTAATCATTTAAAAGCGAAGAATGACGAACTGAAAGAACGTAAGGCAAAATACTATCAAATGAAAAGAGAAACCATTTTACAGAATGAACGAGAACGATATGAAAGAAAGAAGGAGAGATTGATGTGTGATTGTGGATGTGAAGTTTATAAACATAACTTGACCCTTCATTGCAAAAGCAACAAACATCAAGAATACCTAAAAACATTAGAACAAGAAAATTAATAATATTATATATTAATAACATTATTAAATTAATGAATAACTACACAAGTTTATAGCAGGCAAACGATACAATATTTTATCACTCTTTTTTCCTTTACTTCTTTTATTTCCTTTATCATTTCTTTCAACACTTTAATTTGTAATCTATCAATATTACTCAAATCTAAATCAGTTTCATTAATATTGTTTATTTGATTAATACAATCATTCTCATTATCTTTTGAAATTCTACTACCCATTATATACTACAACTTATATTATTTTCCGTCCCCTTTACCTTTACCCTTCAACTTTTTAACCTCTTTCTTCAAATCTTCAACTTCATTAAGAAGGGACTGAACACAACCCCATAAAGGAGCAACCATTTTGCTATAATCCATTCTCAAATATCCTTCGCTTCCCTTATGCACGATGTTATACCAATGCTTCGGCATTTTAGAATTCAAGACATCGTCGGCGATAAACCCGATATGCTTTTCATCTTTATCAATATATTTAAACTCTTTCGGCTTTATGTATTTAACCATATCAACAAAAGTTTTGTTATTGACTTCTTTAATGTTTTCTTTCAGTCTTGCATCACTGCTATTATCTAATGTGCCATTTACATAAACGCCCGTGCTTGAAACTTCCAATATATTAGCACCATTGATAGAATTAAATATTAACCCGTCAGCATCAGGATTATCTATTTTTACGCGCTCACTCGTTGAAACTGTTGAATGTGTAAAATCTAAATGTCCTAACATATTTACCTTCGCTTCTTGAATAGATATTTCAGGTGTGCTTCCTATTGC